CTGGGGAGAGCCCAGGGCGGGCTGCGGGCAGGCTCCGAGCTGGGCAGGCTCCGAGCTCTGCGGCTGCCCCTTTCTCAGAAGCTTACTTCCTGCTGCCACCTGGACAGGAAGGAGGGCCTGACCACATGCGGAGCTGGGGAAGGGCATTTAAATCGGCCGTGCCCTGGGCCGGCTGTCACCACCGCGGCCAGTCTCTGACCAGGACGCTGCTCCAGAGTTGAGCACAGTGCAGCCTTTGGGAGAGAACAAAGTGGGTCGGAACCTTCACTGTGGAAACGTGCCCGCCCAGGCCGACACCTGCCTTCCCTTCCGTCCTGGTCCCTCGGTTTAGGCAGGCACTAGCAGCCGTAAGGAATCCCATTTTGTTAGAAAGTTTTTTCTTTTAAAAATGTTTAATTGCCAGGCACGGTGGTGCTTGCCTGTAATCCAAGCATTTGGGAGGCTGAGGCAGGAGGATCACAGCAAGTCCCAGGCCAGCCTGGGCTATATAGTGAATTCAAGGCCAGCCTGTCCTAACTCCCCCATCAAAAAAATTGTAGCGCAATGCATGTAAAGTAAAACTTACTATGTTCATGTGTTTGCTGTACAGCGCTGTGTCATTCACATTGCTGTTTGGCCACCCCTCCCATCTGCAGAACCTCATGCCTTGTGAAGCAGGAAAGTCTTTTACACAGCAACTCCCGCGCACCCAGCCCTCCCTGGCAGCCCCCACCCTCCTCTGCCTCTGCCTGTGTTCGCCCTGTGCACCCTGGGGTTTTCAGGTGCGAGGGATCGTGGGGATTTACCCTTTTGTGCCTGGCTTGTTCCAGTTACACACATCTTCAAGGTCCCTTCATGCCGTGGTATGTGTCAGAATTTCCGCCCTTTTGAAGGTCGGTGAGTACTCAGTTGCATGAAAGTGCCATGTTCATGAATCCATTCCTGTCAGTGGACAGCTGGGTTGCTTCTGGCTTTCGGTATTATAAAAAGCGCTGCTACGGACATGGGTGTACAAATATATATCTTCGTCCTTGCTTTCAGTTCTTTTGTTTATATTCCAGAAGAGTCAATCCATCACATGATGGTTCTATTTTTAATCTTTTGAGGAACTGCTATACTGTTTTTCACAGTGGCTGCACTTTTTTGTTTTTTGCATCACTGAGGATTGAGTCCAGGGCCTTCACACTGAGCCACAACCCCAGGTATGGGTCTCACTAAACTGATTCATTGTCCAGGCTGGGCTGGAACTTGTGATCCTCCTGCCTCAGCCTCCCGGAGTGCTGGATTATGGGTATGTGCTGGCATGCCTTGTTGGCAAAACTGTTTCACAGAGTTCATAAAGTTTCCAAATTCTCCCTATCACCAACACTAGCTATTTCCCTGTGTTCTTCCCTCCCCTCCCCTCCCAACCTCCTAGGACCTCACGTGCTGCCTGGGCTGGCATCCAGCTCCCGGGCTGGGCGACCCTCCTGCGTCCTGAGTAGCTGGGACTGCAGGCCTGCACCACAGCTCCTGGAGTCCTTTTTTTGTAGTACTGGGTGCTAAGCTGCATCCCTTCCTTTTTGTTGGTTATTTTGAGACAGGCTGTCCCTAAGTGGCCCATGGCCTCCACTCTCAGGCGTATGGTTCCATGGTGTGTGTGCCCAGAGCACCGATCTTTCCAAAGCAGTGTGCGGTTCTTCTGATCCCTGCCTCAGGCTGACTCAGCCCCTTGTGGGTCTGACATCTCACTGCTGCGTGGCTTGCACTGCCCCAGAGACTGGGGGTGCTGCACACCTTCTCCTGTGCTTGCTGACCGGGTGTCTTTGGTGAACCGTCCGTTCTGTGGGCAGCCCTCTCCTATGAACCCCACTTTCCTTAGGGTGCTGTGGTTCCCTGGAGACCCCTGCCGAGTGCCTGCCCCATAGTCTGGCTGCCCCAGAGCCTGCCTCTGCCTGGGCTCCTTGTCTGGACACTTGGCCGGAATTTGGGTGTCCCTCTGTGGAGGGAGGCCTCCACCCGGCCAGCCCCGCATCCCCGCATCCCCGCGTCCCCACTCTGGCCTCCTGGCCGTGGGTTGCAAGTGCAGTGACCGCAGAATGCAGGTTGGTGCATCTGCGGTGTCCGGCTCCCCTCCTGCATCCATGGTCTTTACACCCCGGGTGAAAGTCTGCTCCCCGCTCCGCCGAGGGCAGAGCCAGAGGAGCTTGGTGGTCCTGAGGCTGGAGGGACCTAGGTTAGAAAGGGGCCATGCGGAAGTAAGAGGGAGGCCTTGTGCTGCGCCTCAGATCCTGCATTTAACTCTGTGTTGCCGCAGCCTGCCTTGCAAGTGCAAGAACCCAAGTTCGATTTCCAGTACCAAAAAACAAAAAACCCTTACTCAAGACTTTATTCTGTCCCACATTAGAAACACTTTATTCATTCTGGAATATTCTGGGCTACTAGAGATAACCTCAAAATACAGTGCCCCCCGAGCCATGTTCGGGGTCAGCCCAAGGGCAGAGTTCCAGGTCTCCCTTTCTGCCTGAAACCTCTCCGGCTTGGGGGGCTTTACCTGACCCGTGCCTGGATCTCATGGCGGGGTTCTGAGGCCACGGGTGCCTGGCACAGTGTGGCAGGCTGAGTGGCACGCGCACATGCGTGTGCGTGCGTGTGTGTGTCTGTCTGTCCGTCCGTCCGTCCGTCCCCATCTCCGAGCTTCCCGCCCTCCTGGCCCGTCCCATTCCACACCCCGCCCGCTCATTCATCTTGCAGTCTCCGCAGTCTCCCCACGCGTGTGTAGCTGTTCCTGGCTGGATTGTGGGGAGCATAGAGGGAGGAGAGAGCCGGCCTTCCCGTGACCTCCAGGTCTGGTGCGGCAGCCTCCCCCTGCTCCATCCCTTCCCTGGGTGGTGTGGACGCAGGTCCCCAGCTCCGCCTCCCCTTTTCAGTGCTCATTCCGCGCATTTGGGGTTTTCATCTTTGTGTCCCCCTTTCCTGTGCTACTGTGAACTTCTTCAGGGAAAAGGAGAGGAAAAGTATGGGTGAGCCCAGAGCTCTCTGCTGAGGGCTGCACACCCAGGGCCTGGGCTCCCGTTCAGGACTCTGGCTCTGAGCCCGAGCAATTTCCACGGAGGGCGTGGAGCCGCGCAGGCCGATGGGAGCTGATTGGTTCTGCTGTGGTCTCAACTGCAGAAAGCTGACAGAAAGAAATTATAATGTTAACAGTGCTTCTGTCTGGTGGTGTGAATCCTTCCATGTTCCCCTCCTATACATGAAAGTGAATTAGATGATGTAATATGCCAGATAATAATGGGGATGTGTTTCTTTCAAAACTTTGAACAAAGCTACATAACTTTTTGGTCTTGTAGTTTTTGTATATTATGTCTTCAAACAGTTTTCTAAAATATACATTTCGGCTGGGTTTTGTAGTGCACACCTGTAATCCCAGCACTGGGGAGGCTGAGGCAGGGGGATTGCTGTGCAATCAAGGCCACCCTGAGCTACATAGTGACACTATGTCTCAGAAACCACACACACACACACACACACACTTTGAAGTTTTATTTCTGATTGACACACAGTAATTGAGTATATTAATGGGATACATTGTGATGTTTTAGTACATATATGTGTTGTGTAATGCTTATAAAATTTTAAGGACTATTGCATTATGTAACTCTATCATTTATATAGCTAGTGTCTTAAGGTCAGATATTTGGTTATTTCCAGTGGTTTGTTTGTTTGTTTTTTCTTTTGAGACAGGGTCTCACTATGTAGCCTGGACTGGTATTGAATCCACTGCAATCCCCCTGCCTCAGCCTCCCCAGTGCTGGGATTACAGGCGTGTTTCCCACATTGGGCTCTGTTTTTTGTTTTTTTGAGGTGGTGTGTTGCCTGTCGTCCAGGCTGTCCTTGCACGGTGGGCTCAAGCAATCCTCTTGCCTCAGCTTCCTAAGTAGCTGGACCGTGCCGGCTGTTGCGCCCTTTTAGATAACACTGCGGTGATCGCTGTTGTACTTGTGGGCCCGTCCGGCGGGACTGGAGTCTGTCGGACGCTCACAGTGCTCTTCCTTCTCTCTGCAGAGCCCAGGCCTTCCCCAGCTGTGCCCCACGTCACCAAGGTGAGCACGAGCTCCTGCAGCAGGGTGGGGGCGGCACCAGACAGGAAGTGGTTCCGTCCCACAGCAGGGCGAGTGCCCTGTGGCCGCCAGCCTCCCGAGGGGGGAGTGGGTCCAGGTGCCTGGGCTGAGAAGGACAGGTGTGCTGCCTGGTGCGCAGAGCTTCCTGGGTCTGGTGGCTGAGGTTTCACCTTTGAGCCTTAGGAGGCTGGTAGCAGCTTAGCGTGAGCTGCGACTCAGTTTGTCTGAATCCTCCCCGTGGACTCTCTATCATAATACACCGCAAAGAGGGTTACCTCTGGAGCACTTGGCTCATCCCGGGGCAATCCAGTCTCCAGCTCTGCCTGCTCCCGTGAGGAACCAGGGTCCCTCTGCCCTAAGCCACAGGCAGAGCCCCTGCAGGGGGGTCTGGGTGCAGGGGCTCTGCTGCCCGGCCGCCCAGCTCTGGGCGTGTGCCCCGTGTCACCTGTCCCTCACGGTGACCTGAGGGGGTCGCAGTGACCCCACAGCCTGAGCAGAGGAATGGGTTCTGGTCCCGCCATCCCGTGTGTCAGGCACCTCCCGGGCAGGGCCGGAGCCTGGCAGCTTTCGGGAGAGGCAGACGGGAGACTCCTCTGCCCCGAGCCCAGCGAGCCCTCAGACGGCACAAGCAGCACAGAAGCTCGAGGGGACAAAGGCCAGAGCCTCGGGGGCTTGGGAGGGCTGGGGCAGGGCTGCTGTCCGCAGAAATGGCCCACGTGGCCGCATCTGTTTTAGGTGCCCACGACTGATGGAGAGAACCCAAGTTCCCCAGGAGCAACCAGCCTCCCAGGTAAGGACGGGTGCTTTTGCATTCTTCTGGTTTGCAAAAGATTTCCTCTTATCTGGATGGTGGGCGGAGGATCTGAGGTGGAAGGAAAGAAACTGCAGATTCTCCCTACGTTGCCAAGTGGCCCAGGCAGATGTCTTCCTGCCTCAGCTGCAAGGGTTGACACAGGTGTGTGTGCCCCGCACCGGGCCCAACGCCAGCCTCGGTCCTGCTGGAGGGTGGCCTCAGGCAGGTCTCCTCCTCCGAGTGCACTGCCAGGGAGCGTGTCCGGCCCCGCCCAGGAAGAGCGCTGGTGCGCACCCCGACCCCATCCTCCTGCGGAGCTGGCCTCCCCGATCCTGCTGCCGGGGACGTGGCTACCTGGAACATATCGGGAACCTTGGACTTAGGGCGCCCTGCCCCTTCTCCCCTTCCCCACCTGGGAGGCCTCGGTCATGGGCAGCAGGCCCTGCCGCCAGGCCGGGACTGACCACTGCTCCACCGTCACCTCCCAGCCTGCAGGGCTTCTGCAGGGCCAGCTGATCTCTTCTGACTGCCCGCGAATGCCCCTTAAAGCACAAAATGCAGCTCTCCCTGGCTCGACAGCATCTCCTCTGCATCTTGGTGCGGTTTTAACAGAGGCCCCCTGACAGCACTGCCCGCTGGGGCGAAAAGCCTGAATCCTGGGTCCACACAACAGTGTGTGTGTG